CAAGCCACTAAGCCAGTCACAATCTTGACTTGAAAATAGATAATCATTTCTTCAGTATTGTTGGGGCAAAATCCTGGAATTCCCCCTGAAATGACATTGTGGATCTACCTACAGCATGTGGACAGCAATGATTCAAGAGGTCAGCTCACCACCACCTTCACAAGGGCAACTAAGGACAGGCAATAAATGCTGGCCAGCGAGTGACACAATGTCACTTTGGATCCAAGCCGGTCAGTCATTGAGACAGAAATCCAAGACACCTTCCTTTTTGAATAGTGTTTATTTACTACTCAATCTTGCAGCTGTTTTCACCCCCAGACTTACAGGAATTCCCTCTGCATGTGTTTAGACAATCAGTGGCAACCACCTGTTCCTTTACATTAAATAAAGTCATTAACAAACTTAACAATGTAGTTAAACAGGCATCAACAGTCTGAAATATGGGAGATAAATATGTCTATGAAGCAATCCAAAATCAAAAAAACTTTCCCTGCAATGGAACGACAATGGAGGAAGATAACAATGAAAATGTTAAACACATCACTGTTATGTTGAACTCCAAATTTCAAGTGAACAAACCTGATAAAAACACAGGAGAAGTGAAAAAAAGATATAGCATAATGACAGAAAAGGGCTATTCAATAGTGTTTATGGCTTCACAGAAAGATTTAAATATTGACCACAATGTGCTTCCTAACCATGAAACAAAGCTTCATTTGCTATCAATATTTGGCTATCATTGGATATGCAATGCAACAGAGGCAGATATGCCTGATGAAATTTGTGTGTTATCTTTAAGAGAATCCAAGCTGGACCAAGCAGGCATATCATCTCTTCACTGTAGGTAACTAATATTATAAGCAGCTTTGGTAGCTTTCCATTTAGTGAGGTGATAGTTTGCACCTTATTGGTGTGTTAAACATTGCCTGCTGTGAATCAGGAGCCCAATCTGTCATGACAGTGTTGTGAGATTGGGTAGAGTACTTGTGGATTAGAAGGCAGGGTGTTAGAATTTGATGTTTGTAAAAGGATAAGGGGGAAGAGTGAGAGGTCCCTTTAAAAGATATTGTGCTTTTTATAGGCTTGGAGATTTAAAAAAAAGGTCTACAGGCAGCAGCTTGTGGATTTACAGGTACACAGAGAGCTCCTGAATTGAAACATTTTTATTAAAAGGCTATGTGGTTAGCCATCCAGGCAGCAGATTTGTTTTGTTATTAAGACAACCAGTTTGAATATCTGCCAATTACTTTAAACCAGGCACTTAGAGACAAAAAATCAATTAAATTGAAATCTGATAGTTTTGACAGCATAGGACCAATCCTATCGTAAGAAATTGATATGTAATCAAGAGTATAAAAAAGGGCATTCACAAAATTGACAGAGAGTGAACTGCCATCTGAAGAGATCAGCACTCTCAATTCTTAAGAGAAGGCATCATCTAAATAAAGGTACCGCAGCACTCTTAGCTAATATTCCTGACACATGAATTCAAAGGACAAGGTGTTCCTGACCAAAAATCAGCGGAGAAGGCACAGAAGGCTGTAATTTCAAGAGACTAAGTTAAATTTTTTAAATTATTTTGGTTTAAATAAGTGGAGCTTGTATTTATTAGAACAGCATACCATTAGAACCTTGTTTTATTCGGGAATAGTTAGTAGTTAGAAGGGGTTTATTCGATTTGGTAATAGTTTAGTTAATTTGTTCGCTGATAGAGTTAGATAAATACATTATTATTTGTTGTTTGTAAAGTGGGTGCCAGGGATTGATTTTATTTAACCACTCCTTTATAATGAATTGGGGGCTCATTACCCCACTTTTCACAATTCTTTTTAGCAGATTATAAGGCGAGGTGTGCCTCTCTGGGTGTTTCAGTTTTAGTTATGGGGCAGGGGGAGGTGATTGACCTCTGCTTTATGACAACAGTCTCTAGGCATTTGCTACAAATCAAGGCAGTAGTTTTCTTTTAATTGTGAAAAGCTGTTTTTTAAAGCTTGAATTGCAAAAAGATGAGAGGACATTTTAACCTTTAATTCATTCTTTAATTCATTTCAATATTTCAAAAACAAAAAGATTAATTTATAACAGCTTTTTATTGTATTCATTCTTGGAATGTGGACTTTGCTGGCCCAGAATTTATTGCCCATCCCTAAGTGCACTTCAGGATGAGCTGCCTTCTTGAGCTGCGGCAGTCCATTTGATATAAGTGACCTATGTTTCCTGTCAGGGATGGAGTTCATGATTTTGATCCAGTGACAGTGGAGGAACAGGGACATATTTCCAAGTCAGAATGGTGAGTTGTTTAGAAAGAAACTTGTAGGTGATGGTGTTCCCATGTGTCTGTTGCCTTTGTCCTTTTAGATGGACATAGTTCAGTGTTTGGAAGGTGCTGTCCTAGGAGCCTTGATGAATCACTGCTGTGCATCCTGAAGATGGCACAAATTGCTGCTGCTGAATGGTGGTGGTGGAGGGTCTGAATGTTTGTGGGTGTGGTGCCAATCAAGTGGGCTGTTTTGTCTTAGATGGTGTCAGGCTTCTCAAATTCTTTTACAGCTGCTCCCATTCCAGGCAGTGGGAAATTTTTCATCACATTCCTGACTTATCCTTTGTAGATGGTGAACTGCTGTGGAGAGTCAGAACGGGAGCAACTTGCTGCAGGATTCCAAGCTTCTGATTTGCTGTTGTCACCAGTGTATTTATATAGCAAGTCCTATTCAGTTTTTGGTCAATGCTGAGCCCCAGGATGTTGCAATAGCTACTTCCTTTAATAAATAAAGTTGGTTTCAGGGAACTTAGTAAATGTATTACTTAATCTGAATCTCTGCAAAATGTAATCTAGTAAATGTTTACTATATTGCTCAAATAGCACCTGTGTCCAATTGTGTGATAGTTTAGCTGTCTGTTTTATATTTTAGAAGCCAGAAGAAAACCAGGCAGGTGACAAGTCTGAACCCGATACAAGAATTTTAATGTGGAATTTTCTTTGGTGCTCCAGGTGATGAGATTTCAACTAATAGTGGTAATCAGTCTTGTAAGATGGTACCAGATTATAATTAAGAATTTTGTCTTTATTTTTATGGGGAATGAATGAGTTTAAAGTGGCCTCAAACTCAAGAACTACAGCAGAGTAATTGAATTTTCAAAGTTGATGGCAAGTTGTCAGTATTAAAAATATAGCATAATGGAAATATCACAGGCTGATACAATTTAGTCAAGCGGTGATGACATACCAGTTTTGCTGCTATTTTCATAATGACAATGTGTATAAAGTTTGTTTATTATAACAAAATATCCCAGGAAGCTTCATGGGAATATTTATGAAGTAAACTTTAGCACCAAGCTCCATTAAAGTAGCTGACAATGCTTTGTCAGAAATAGGATTTGAGGATTGAGCTGAAAGAGGAATGGGAGGTGGAGAAGTGAAAAAGTCAAAGAATTTAATTGCTCCACTTTGAATAGTGTCTTCAGATCCCTTACATGCAACCAATAACCAGACATAGTTTAGATTCTCATCCAAAATAAATCAGTTGAAGGATGGACAAAGAATTTACCAGCTTTTGCCATTAACAGTCACAGAAAAGGCAATGTCTGTATCTCTCCACAGATGCCGCCAAGCCTGTTGAGCTTTTTCATTTTTTTTTAATTCAGGGTCTTTTATTTCAGTGGAACACCTGACAAAAGATTCCTCAAGTTTAACAATGACTAAGATGCTCTTTCCAATAGGTGCCATTTTTAAGTTGTACAATTGTCATCTTATGCAGTTCAGATGAACTGTGATAGCACAAGACACTATTTAAGGGAGAACAAGAGAATTCTTCAAGTATCCTGAATAATATTTTTCACTCAACCAATTCCATTAAAAACAAGTTACTTACTATATAGCTGCTTCTGGAAGCTTGTGAGCAAATTTGCTGCCACATTTCATCAAGTTACAACTGTATCATAATATCTCAAAAGAAGATCAGCAGTAATGTATCTTGAGGTATGTAGAAGATACTATATAATGAAAGCCTTTTTTTCTTTTAATTTGAATTAACTTTTTCCCAAAATGTCGAAAAATGACTGATTAATGTTAGCTGATTACATTGGCCTGTGGTTAAACTGCCTCAATTTTAAAATTCTCACCTATGTTTAGACAAGCATTCCAACTGATCTCCATGGGAATACCAACTGAGGTACAAATGGTGGTGACCGGATCTCATTTTTTGGCAGATGATCAGTCACCAAGAGGCTGTAGCTTTTCAGATAGGTTGTAGTAGCACATACAAAAGTACAGATAAATGTTAAGACATGAGTAAACAACAAATTGAAGAAGCCTAAACATAGGTGCATGTGAAGAAAGAAAACATGAGTGTGAACAAAACCCAGTATTGTCTAATTACCCACACTTGCTAATAGCATCAACCTTTTCTCTAGGCTCTGGCAATGACAGTGAAGGATTGTTTGCACTGTCTGGGACAGCACGTAAGCAAATGTAATGCTGTAACATTTGCGGTAAGGATTAGCAAAGGGCCAACAAAGACGGTGACAGTAATGGATGGTCTAAAACTTCACCTCCTTGAAATTTTGTCACAATGTCTATTTATGGGGATGGTAGCAGTTTGAGTAACCCTGAGGCCATGTTGTTGTAATACGACATCTTATTCAACCAAACAGTTAAGTGCTGCGCTACCCATTCCTGCACAATGTGTTTCTTTCCCCTAATTTATATTGTTTTGTCCTTCACAGTTAATCTCTTCTAAGGAGATCAGATTGAACACAAAGTGATCAAGTAAGGTTTGATGCAAATTATTAAACTGCTTTATTTCACAATGAATGAACACATAGGGAATCAGAGTTATGAACAGAATCACCTAGTTCATATGAGCATATAACTTTGCTTTGCAAAGTGAAATAAAGAAAGAATACACCATGGTGTCAATATCAATATTATCTAGGTTATAGTGTCAATCAAGAACAACTGCAAACAAACTTTATCAAAGACCGCTAATGTTTTGACATACCTTCTTATGATCTCCAACATTTTCAGGTGTTTTTGCTTCCTATTGTTGAGATTTCTCTTAAATGCTCCATCTGTTTTAATTAGATTTATGCACTACCTTCATTTTTTACTTTATAAAGCTAAAACTTATTTTAATTATTTGACCGAGGAAAAATTGATGTAAGGCTTCCAAAGCTACTAAGCTCAAAAAACAACAGAGTTTATCTTTGCCAAATCTGTGCCATTGACGTAATGAGCTCCATCCTGTTTTCCCTTCAGCATGATCCCTCCAGCAGAGGTCACTAGATAGGTATCTGCATGAAAAATCCTGTATGACTTCTGCTTTCCTCAACCACAGTGCACTGAAGCAAATTAGAATCACTTGCAGCACTGAAGGATCCTGGTCGGTCCATCATGTGGTATGATGGGTAATACTCTCTCAGTTACCTGACTTTAGATTGGATCAAAGGAAAAAAAGTGTACATTTAACCAGGAAACCATTAAATACAAAATGAAAGCAAACTGTTATAGATACTGCAGATCTGAAATAAAAACAAAACATGTTAGAGAAACTCGGAGATAGTAGGAACTGCAGATGCTGGAGAATCCGAGACAACAAGGTGCAGAGCTGGATAAACACAGCAGGCCAAGCAGCATCATAGGAGCAGAAAGGCTGATGTTTCGGGCCTAGACCCTTCATCAAAAACTCAGCACGTTTGCCAGCAAACGTGGAGAGAGAAACAAAGATAATGTTTCATATGGGAATTTAGGTAGTGGATGTCAAAAACATTTAGATATCTGGGGAAGAAATATTCCTGTCTGATACTGCAGTAGAACAATGACCACATTTTAAAAAGTAATTTACTGACTCTAAGGCACTTTGGGTCAGTCTTAGGTTGTGAAAAACACACTATAAAAGCACATCTGTCATTGTTTATTTATTCAATCGTAATGTCAACCTTACTTAGGGATGCATTTTTCAGTGTAAGTTATAGTAAACTTAAATGTAAATTTTGAATTTTTTTTGCTTCCTAGCCAGAGGATGGTTGAGATCAATCGTAACTTTGTTACTATCACCCAGCTCAGATCAGTTGTAACAGCAAAATTAAGTATCAAAAATGGAACAAAGCATTCAGTACCACAGAAAATGAGCAAGTGCTTTTACTACTGAACCATTGGACAACCTGTGTCTGGTCAATTATTGTAGCTACTCTGAAAATTAGTAACCAATCAAAACTATGTCATTACTGAAGACCTAATATTTAACTTAATCTCAGGCATTTAGTGACTTGTCTAAAATACACTTTTTCAATTCCTTCTGATATCTATACTGTCCCTATTGGAAGCAAGAATATCCCTTATAAGTATCTAATAAGTATGAGTATGTTTTCTATGTTTATACATTTCAGAATTTATATTTAAAGCCCCTGCTGCCTCATATTTTACAGAGTTTCTTGGAAGAGATTTGATAAAGTCAAGTATCAGAAAGTATAGTGTGCTCTTTGTTTCACTATGCAAAGGTAAATCACATCAATTGAACTTGGTTCTCTATGGAGTCATTCAATGTGACATTACTTTACATCAAGCTTTCCTTAACATGTGTTTATTCTATTCGCCTTTGAAGAGATTAAAGAAGTACCAGCATGAAAATCAAGGGACATCTGGCCCTGATCATACAGGATGATATTATTTTATTTCTGGGTCATACAAATACATATGGGGTTGTGTGATAAACTTCCAGCACACTCCCTCACACCATATTTCCATTCTGTTCTCCCAGTTTCCCCATTGCATCTGTTCTGATGATCTGGCACTTTTCAAATGTCATCCTTTTACCTCAGCTGAAGATTTCCAACCAGTATAGTTGACAAGGCCATCCAATGTGTAGAATCCATTTCTTGAACGCCTGCTCTCATCTCTTTCTGCACTCCCTAACTTATACCCACACCCCCAAAAAAAAAATCTCTTCATTCTTATCTTTCACCCAATATTTCTCCAGCTCTGGCATTAGGCAAACACCAAACACTCTTTCCAAGTAAAACTATGTTTATATGCATTTCTCTCAATTTATTGCACTGTATTTGCTGCTCATGTTCTAGTTTCGACATTGCAGCAAAACATACGAAGGCACTTCACAGGAAAGCTATCAAAATAAAGTCTGACACTGATTCACATTATGACATATGCCTAAAAGATTGGTCAAAGAGGTTGGTTTTAAAGAGACTCTTAATGAAGGAAAGTGAGGCAGAGAAGCTTTGAGTAGATAACAGAACAGCCACTGGTGAAGCAATTAAAACCAGGTATGCTTTAAGAGTTTGGAATTGGAGGAGCACAGATAAATATCTCAGAGAGTTAAAGGAGATTGCAGGTAGAGGTAGCAGCCAAACAACAGGGGAATTTGAAAACAAGGATGAGAATTTTAAAATCTAGGCCAATGATCCTCAAACTGTTTGCAAGCTCTCCCTTCTCCAATCTGAATGACAACTATGGAGAGGAGAGTACCTTGTCTGGGCATGCTTGCACTCACTAGATCAATGCCACTAAACATCAAGCATCTGATAGTGAGCCAAAAGAACTCTTTAACTTTGGAAATCACTTCCAATGCCAAGTTCAAGTGGGCCTGGGATGCTTGCCCATATCAAATCAATGGGCATGGCTGGCAACTGTAATTCAATCACTGACTCAGGGTGGAAAATAGCATGAAGTCATATGGTTGAGCTAGGAAGGTTACTGCCAACTTCAAACTTTATTGTTGTTTTTCTCTTTGTCTGGCAGTTCTACAGGTTCTTTATCCCAGGCTAGCTAGACAGCTTCATGGCACTTGCACCAAGATCAGAGGATCTAAGGATGTGGGGCGAATGAATGTGTTTGAGGGGTCTGAGGGTTGGCAGGAGAGAACCATTTGTGAAGAGTGTCTGATGATTGAGTGAGGGAAAGAGAGTTGGGGCAGGAGCTTGGGAAGAGATGAGTGAGAGTGATGTGTATAGGGGGTGATCGGTTACTAAGGTGAGGCGAGAGTGATTGCCCTGTCATCAAGGCAGCATTTGACGAATTGTAGCATCAAGGAGCAAAACTGATGTCAATGGAAATTGGAGGAAATGTCACTACAGATTGGAGTTATGCCTATCGCAAAGGAAGACCATTGTGATTGTTGAATGTCAATTGGCACGGTTCTGGGACATCACTGCATGAATTCCCTAGGGTAATGTTCTGCTCACAACCACCTTTTGCTGCTTCATTAATGACTAGCATTTCATTGAGGTCAAGTGGGAATGTTAATGATAAAACAATAATCATAATCAGATACAACTTCTACAAATACAGAGTGGAATATTCCTAGCATCTGAACAACATGGGCAATGGTGTGAAAGTTGAGAGAACACAGCGAGAATAGAAAAATTAGACTCTCAATCCGGAGAAAAGTCTGATTTTGCTGTTAATATTTTAGCAAATAGTTGATAATCTTGCTAGTGAGTGAAAAGGGGCTTCTTTGCATGCATTAACATATTATTATCTGATCTCACTTCAATTATATGCAGGTGGCTGTTCACCCAAAAACTGCTGACAAACTATTTGACACCAATTCATGACTTAAAAGTCAGAGAGGTTACCTGGTGGCTGCAATTCACCAGCATTTTCTTCAGGCACCTATCTTGACCAGCATTCCTGGACATCTCATTGCATTAAATGCTGGCTTAGACAGCGATGTCTTCATCTTGTGAACTAATTCACAATGGGAGGCCTATGAGTAAGTGGCTAAATTGATTTGGGAAGAAAGGCTGCTGAAAGAGTGATTATGTGGGGTGAGGGGGTGGGCAAGTATGTAGTTCTGCAAGTCTGTGGTGTGAGAGAAAGGGCTGATCAAAGCATAAGTGAAGGGAAAAGTTCTTCACTGAATCTTTTGTCAGCAGGGCATATAAGGAGCTTAGCTATAACCGACATGAGCACATAACATGACATTTCTACAAATTACTTTAGGAACTCAAATTTTCACATGTATCTTCACGAAAATTTTTCAAAACTCATGAATATACCCAATGTTTCCTGTTAGAGTATGTTGCTGTTTGGAGTGGTGTTCATTTTCAGGTATTAAAATAGGGTCATAATTTGGGAAGGACTGATTTGGTATTACTCAACTGGGAGCCTGTGTATATGCAGGAGCAGAATGGAGGTGGGTGAATGTAACTTGGTTCAAATTCAGATTGACAGTAAAGATTTGGATGACCATAAGACTGTAAGGCCCGATGGTATCTACCCCAGATTATTGAGAGAAGGAATAGAGGAGATTGCTGGGGCCTTGGCCAAGATCTCTGAATCCACATTAGCCACTGGAGGGGTCCCAGAGGACTGGCGGGTAGCTAGTGTTGTTCCTCTGTTCAAGAAGGGAAATGGGGATAATCCAGGAAACTATAGACTGATGAGTCACACATCAGTGGTTAGGAAGCAATTGGAGAGAATCCTTAGGGATTGGATTTATGCAAATTTGGAAAAGCATAGCCTAATTAGGGACAGTAGGCATGGCTTTGTGTTGGGCAGCACATGTCATACTGATTTGATTGAATTTTTCGAGGAGGTAACTGTGTAGGATGGGCTGAAGGGCTAAAAATTAAAGATGATATTTGACAGCTGGATGAGAAAATACATTGTATAGGATGGGAAAATAGGCTGGTAAAGTTATTGATGATACTTGATGAACTGCATGACATTGAATGAGCCATGCGAACATTCATTTACAGGCTGAAGTCCACACCAGCAGCTTGTTTTTCCATAGCTGTATTTTCTATACTAGCTAGCAGTTTTGTCTTCTGTATCTGCTGTTCCCTGTGTTGGCTCATTGTTACACTGTATAAGAGAAAGAGTTTTGTTCCAAGTCGTCGGAACGCTGCCAGGAACAAACTCAGACCAGCCATCGATCGAGGGGTCCCCTACAGCCAGAAGGGCGTGAGGCTTATTGTTTAGTTCCTCTCATTTTCATTCTTTTTATCAACTTAATAAATGTTCCTCTCTTTTTTGTCTTTTATTATTACTCAATAAATTATTGTATTTAGGCAAATTGCTATTGTTGAGCCTTTGTTTAACTACACTTAACCAAATCCGAAAAGAACTGATTGGATGCACTCTGTGATCCAAGACATTTTTGGTGACAAGGATGCGATTTGGGAAAATGTGTAAGA